AAGGGACATTCTGTACTGCCTCATCCTCCTCCACTGGAGAAACATCCTCAGCTGTGTCTTCTTGCTGTTCCTTTTGAAGGGCTTGGAGTTCTTCGGTGGTCAGTTCTTCGTTGTGTTCTTCCACCAACTCCTCCACATCAGCACCATCCAATTCCAAGCCCATTTGCCGGCCCAGAGTAACAATTTCCTCAACAATAGGCACATCATTTACAGGCTCAAACCCCTCAAAGTCTAGTTCTGTCACACATTCAGGCCACAATTTTCTCCAGCCAGAGATCAGGGTTCTTTGAGTCACTTCTTGCCAGGCTTTGTCAACGAGTTTTAAAGCACTACAAATGTTAAAATGGTCTTTCCAGAACTCTTTGAGGGTGAGTTTTGTGGCTTCAGTCACTTCAAAACATTTCCGGAAAAGTGCCCTTTCATAAAGTTTCTTAAAATTCGCTATGATTTTCTGGTCCATAGGCTGAATTAGAGGAGTGGTGTTAGGAGGAAGGAACTTTACTGTGAGAAAATTACTGTATCTGTGCAACAATTCATCTTCCAAGCCTGGAGGATGAGCAGGAGCATTGTCGAGGAGAAGCAGGGCCTTGAGTGGCAAATGTTTCTCCTGCAGATATTTTTCTATGGCAGGGCACACCACTTCATTCACCCACTCCGAAAAAAAAATCCTAGTCACCCATGCCTTATTATTAGCCCTCCACATCACACACATTTGGTTTTTCTGCACTTTATACTGTTTGAAAACCCTTGGATTTTCAGAATGATACACAAGCAAGGGTTTAATTTTCAAATCGCCACTCGCATTTGAACACAGCACAAGCGTAAACCTATCTTTCATAGGCTTGTGTCCGGGCAATGATTTTTCCTCCTTGGTAATGTATGTCCTCTTAGGCAATCTTTTCCAGAACAGTCCTGTCTCATCACAATTAAAAACTTGTTGTGGTATTTATCCCTCAGCCTCTGCAAACTCTTTAAATTCTTCAATAAATCTTTCAGCCGCTGGTTTGTCTGAGCTGGCAGCCTCCCCATGCCTCTCAACACTATGAATACCACTTCTTTTTCTAAATTTTTCAAACCATCCCCTGCTTGCCTTAAAGTCTATCGTATCTGCACTCGTTCCAGGGGTTTTCTTTACAAGGTCTTCGTGCAATACCCTGGCTTTCTCACAAATGATGGCCTCTGAAACACTATCACCCGCTAACTCCTTGTTGTGTATCCAAATTAATAACAACTTTTCCACTTCCTCAAGTATTTGTGGTCTTTGTTTCGTGATTGTTCTTACGCCTTTTGCCACTTTAGTACTCATAATGTCCTTTTTCTTGCCAAGTATAGTGCATATCGTTGACTTGGCTTTGTTGTACTGCCTACAAAGTTCAACAACACGTGTACCATTTTCATGCTTCCGAATAATCTCTTGTTTTTCCTCTATTGTCATACTCACATGTGCTTTCTTGCCTTGATCCTTACCGCTGGCTTTCTTGGGACCCATAGTGAGATATATAATAACAACTTTTATGGTCAAGTGGCCAAAAATCCAACAAAACACTGTAAATCCTGGTGAAGAATTCAGGCGGATAGTCACTGGGCGCGAGGCACTGGTAAACTGAGGGGCGATCGCCGTGCCACCACTCAAGGTCGGCCTGTACGCGTATCAACACCCTTGTCTTCCGAGGCAACGCTCGTATCCGATGTAAATTTTCCGAGCAAATCCTGCTCGTATTCCGAAAAACTCGTATACAGGGATGCTCGTAATCCGAGGTACCACTGTAGAAAAGTAGAGAGATGTGTACTCTCGCACAATGGACGAGTCTGCCCAGGAAGTCTCCGACTGCCGGGAACTCCCTCCCCTTAGTCGTAAACTGCACTCGTCTGCGCGAGCATATGTCGCTCCCGCCTCCATAATATCAAATCATCGCAAACTCCTCATATCGTCTCATTATTTTCATAAAGTCTCTAACCTACATTCACAAACATCTTATAATATTGCTGGATATACGATCAAACTATAACAAGCTATACATGACAGAATATTGGTCTCTTACCACAAAAGAGTGTCGTGACGAAGCCCGTCCAACAACGACCAAATACTGTATGGCACCCTACAGGGTCGTCCACAAATTTCTCTTGGACGTGCCAATATTGGCTCCAACTGTCCTGACTTGAGCGTGAGAAGTCATGTAACAGGTGCCACACAGGAACACATGCCCAATTTATCCACTTAACACTTTCGCGCGGGCATGACGCAGCATTGCGTCATCCGTTTACTGGCGGTAATTCCGGGGATGACGCAGCATTGCGTCATCCAATTTAAATAATCGCCAAAAATCAGGTTTTTATCCAATTTTTTTGGGATTGGTTTTAAAATGCGCGCCAATGTCTTCCTATTTTCCTTGTTGAGCCTCGTGGCCCTCAGGCGGCTTGGCACATGCCGTGGGCCCATTGCTTTCGCTCCACTGTTGTGACCAATGTCGCCTCCCCTCGCATCTCAAACGTGTGAACATTTCGCCTATTTTCCGTGGCTATATTTCTTACTGCGGCTTTAGAAACTATCTACGCTTACTACACGATGGATAGTGATCATGAACAAGGCCCTTCCAGGAAGAAAATTGCGAAAGAAAGGCTTGAAAAGGGCGGGAATTGGGAGTGTAGGTGGAAGGCGGCTGAGCACTCACTTGCGGCTAACGCGTGGCCCGTCTTCAACTCGTCGGCGGTTGGAGCATGACCAGGTTTTTTATTTGATATGCTAATGTTCCTCTAGAGAATTCTATTGCGAACATATTGAGACCAAAATGAAAGACCTAGGATAAAAATTGAGGTGACCAGAGTGAAAATACTGTAGTGAAAACATTTTATCGCGTTTGCGCGCTCCTGGGTAACTCGTTCGCACTTTCTCTGTTTGCTGCGGGTAATTAGCCGGGCTTTTGGAGTTTATATGCATTTAGTGCTGTAGAGAATTCTATTGCGAACACAATAATACCAAACTTAATCTCGTAAGACGAGAATTAAGGTGACAAAGTTGAAGAGAGTATACACTTTTCAGATTTTACGCGCACTCCTGTGACACCCTGGGTCCCATATCGCACAGTTGAGGGGTGGCGAGCGGGGTGCACCAAAGTGTTAAAGGATTTACGCACAGTAGGGTCCACAAAAAAAAAAAATAGTAGTAGTAGTAAAAACAGTTGATTGACAGTTAAGAGGCGGGCCGAAAGAGCAGAGCTCAACCCCTGCAAGCACAACAAGGTGAATACAAAGGCACAACCACCCAATAGGCTTCAGGCCGCTCTTATATTGTTACCACAGTTAGAGATACATTACACGTCGTCCTTCAACAGCTTCCTCATATGTTGATCATGTAGCTTCCTCATACGTTGATCATGTAGCTTCCTCATACGTTGATCATGTAGCTTCCTCATACGTTGATCATGTAGCTTCCTCATACGTTGATCATGTAGCTTCCTCATACGTTGATCATGTAGCTTCCTCATATGTTGATCATGTAGCTTCCTCATACGTTGATCATGTAGCTTCCTCATACGTTGATCATGTAGCTTCCTCATATGTTGATTATGTAGCTTCCTCATACGTTGATCATGTAGCTTCCTCATACGTTGATCATGTAGCTTCCTCATACGTTGATCATGTAGCTTCCTCATACGTTGATCATGTAGCTTCCTCATACGTTGATCATGTAGCTTCCTCATACGTTGATCCTGTAGCTTCCTCATACGTTGATCGTGTAGCTTCCTCATACGTTGATCATGTAGCTTCCTCATACGTTGATCCTGTAGCTTCCTCATACGTTGATCATGTAGCTTCCTCATACGTTGATCATGTAGCTTCCTCATACGTTGATCATGTAGCTTCCTCATACGTTGATCATGTAGCTTCTCACCAGTTCTTCACCATGAGTTACAAACTTCCTTCTTCATTAAGAGGGAATAACGTACGTCCATCTCCGTCGACTCTCACAACTCAAGTGAGGTCTTGAGACTTTCACCCACGTCATATTTCATAGCATACTGTCGCCATCTTATCTTACCTCATATCCTTAAGATGCTTACCCTTAGTCATATTTACCAATGTTTGCTTGGTTTAATTAATTTACCTGACTTCTATATCTGGTCAGGTGGGAAATAACTCTCACAAATGCAGGCCTACCTCCTTAGGCTGCCTGAAGGCTCATAACACCATCTAAACTGTAAATACCAAAACACTGCTGAATTTTAAAATCTGGCTTCGAAAAATCATCATGAAAGGAGGGGGGGGGGGGACCTTTGACAAGCCGCTGGATTACTTTCCTCATCGATGTCACTAGTGTTAGTGGCCCTCTGTGAAATGTATTCTTAGGTCTACTTATCTTCAGAGGCTAAAGATTAGATGTTTACTCTTGGTATCATGCATGTTGACACTACCCAAAATAAAATTGGCAAAATTAATATAGATTATGTATGATTATGTACTTTGTTTTTATAGCATTCCAGAAGCATCATTTATACCATATGGAGAATGAACATAAATTTTAGGCTGAAACTGTTCCACTTTACATTTGGTAGTCACTAACTTACCTACAGGTATAATGTCAGGCAAGTCTTATGACACCAAACTGATATTGATATTAACAAACAAATGCTTACATGGTATAGCTGCTTAAATATCTCCTTAGACTTATGCCTTATTGCGTCTAAAGCAAGTTTTAAGAAGCACTTTATATATATTGCAGTGCAGTACTGTATATACATTTGAGGTTTGATGTTTATTGAAGGTGTTCCAAGAGAACACCCGAACACCTGCCCGAAACGCTTTGTGTAATAGTGGCTGCCCGAAACGCTTTGCGTAATAGTGGCTTTAGGCATTGTATGTACTAGCTCTATCTATAAAGCCAACAAACATTGTAAAATCTCTTTATGTATGTACCTTTACCTAAATAAAAATTATTATTATTATTATTATTATTATTATATATTATAGAAGTGTATGAACTGATAACGCCTACTTTTCAGTGTGGATACAAAGGAGTATGCTCTCAAGCAGATAGAGGGGACTGGCCTCTCAATGTCAGCGTGCAGGGAAATAGCAGTAAGTTTCTCTTCATATTATGATGCACAGTATTACAGGAGAGCTAAACTTCATAGATTGGAAAGGCTTAGTGATAATGTAAACATGTTTCTAGAAAGTAAGAAAGATTAATTTCCTTCCTACATTGTTCTATTTTTTCAACAGCTTCTGCGCGAGTTGAAACATCCTAACGTAATCAACCTGCAGCGTGTGTTCCTGTCACATGCTGACCGCAAAGTGTGGCTTCTCTTTGACTATGCTGAACATGACTTGTGGGTAAGTGTTACAAGTGGGGCTTGTTTATGGGCAATAATAGTGTACTGGAAGAACCACCTAGAAGAGTTAGGCAAGACCTGGACCCCTGGGAATTAGTACCCAACAATCAAAATATAACAGTCTGTATCCCAATTGAAAACCCCCAATTAGCATCACAATGCCCTACCACATCCTGCTTCACGTTAAATCTCAGGGGTCCACGTAGGCAGGAGACGAGATGTACATACTAGCAAGCTAGTGTAGTGCCTGTGGTCCCTTGAGGGGCAGTCCAAACTTAATCCTAAGACATATATTGCAAAGCGGTGTGTGTTTGCTCAAGCTTCTTTGAGCTAGCCATTCTGCCCCTTTAATAGTGCTGTGGAATGTCTGGCTTATTTTGTTGCCTCTTGGTCCTGCAATACGTGGTCATTCCAGGTCGTATCCCGGGGCCTGTAGTAGAAGGACATTCTCATTCCCTATTTTCGTGTTGGCAGTCCAGGGGTCAGCATTCTACCTTGCATATCCTCTTGGTCATAGTTGGATGCTGGAGTGATAATTAACACTATCGGTAACTTTGGACCGGACTCGCGTCCATTATTTTTCTCCCGAGTCCTAACTTTGGACCGGACTTGCGTCCACTACAAAAAATATTTGTATAAAATTCATTTTTTATCCAATCGACCTCGGGATAGTATCAAAATAAGCGCCTTTAGATTATGCACAATTTGATACCAAAATAAAAGATATAACATGAAACTTGATGTCCGAACACTTGAATGATTATAAATAGGCTTTTGGTCAAAATTTTAAAATATTTGTTAAAATTCTATTTATTGTCCTATTAGCTTGGGACTAGTTTTAAAATGCGCGCCTTTACGTCGCGAACAATTTGATACCAAAATGAAAGACGTAACACGAAATTTGATGTTATCAAATTGAACGAGTATACACATTAGGTTGCAGTGTACAAATTGGTGCTCGTTCACGGGTAACTTTAAGGCTTTTCTGCGGGGAGGCACTCCAGGCTTTTGTACATTATATTCATACACATCTGTAGGGAATTCAATTGCAAACACAATGATACCAAAACGAGCGACGTAGCACGAGAATTAAGGTGAGAAAAATGGAACGCGTATGCACACGTTACTGATTTTGTGCGCTCACGGGTAACTTTTGCCGACTTTAGGCTTTTCTGTTGGGAGTCACACCAGGCTTTTAGACATTATATTTATACACATCTGTAGGGAATTTAATTGTGAACACAATGATACCAAAACGAGCGACGTAGCACGAGAATTAAGGTGAGAAAGCTGAAATGAGTATACACATTTAGGTGTCACCGCACTCTCGCCCGCACGCTCGGTGCATGACCCCTAAGTTGACCGCGCGCCTGCCCGGTGAGCAATAGTGTTAAACTTCACTCTGCAGTGGGAGTCCCATTTGTTCAGTCCCCAAGTAGATCCCGCTGGACCTATAGTACAGTCTTGACATTGTGTTCATTTCATTCCTTTTCCATCTTTCCACGTGACCATCTTAGCTCAGGTCAGTCTGGTGTTGTGGATGGAAGCCTGGGTGGTGTCCCTGGACTTATAACATGCATATTTAGCATGTACCCATTTATCCATGGTTCAGGGATTGGTTAGGTTTTATTGGGCATCAGGCTTACCACTATGGGTTCTCCCATTTGGTTTTAATTTGGCTATCGAGAAGTTCACTAGGTGTGGTGGTTCCTCGCCTTTCTTGTTAGGGGTTAGTGTCTTAGTCTATCTCAGTGACTGGCTGGTATGGGTTCCTAGCCAGTCCAAATGTCTTCAAGCCAGAAATTTTGTCTTTGGTGGACCCGGCTTCTTTTGAATACTGGTTGGCCACTTATTGGTTGCAGACAAACTTTCCTGATTTATTAGGTCTAGTGGACAGCCCTTTTTTTTTTTTTTTATTGGGCCTGGCATGGCTTTTGCCATACCTGAATGCTAGAGTGGCACGAGGTACATTTGGTAGGTTAGGCTTTTTTTTTGGTAGTGCTAATTTTTCACCACTTCAGTGTTGCCTATTTGTGCTGTTCTTTTCTCAGGATGTGGGTATGTGGCAGCTGCATGTTCAGTAGCCTTCACTTTTTGGTCTTGATATCACAAAGGATCAGAGGGCTGGTATGCACTGGCCACAGTTTTGCTTATTTGGGCAGTCATGGAGCTGGTTTCACAGGCAGATTCCTGAATGGTATTCCAGGATCAATGGAACACATTGACATCTTCCTATTCATCCCTATTCAGGGACTGGCAAGGTTTTTTGGTTGGGGCATCAGACTTACAGCTTCCGAGTTCTCCTTTTCATCTTGAATCTGGATCTGTAGACTTTCACCAGGTTGATGCACGTAGTGGTTTGTTGCCCTTAGGTGTTTTAGGGTTTGTCTACATCTACCTCAAAACCTGGCTGGTTTAGGCTCCCAACCTATCCATGTGTGTGCAAGCCAGGGATCTGGTTCTTTCCCAGCTTGCTGGGTTCAGGTTTCTAGTATACAGTGGAACCTCGATTTGGCTGCTTTCCGAAGGGGCCCTCGGGTCATTGATTCTTGGTTGGTCAGGCTGGGGGTGCATCATGTGTTGTGTCCGGTTGCGGCTCTTCGCCGTTACCTGCGCGCATTGGTTTCTGTGGTCGGGGATGTGCTTTGGGTTGATCCGTTTCCCTTGTTCCCTTTTCCAGGGTTCGGGTCTCCCAGGTTGTCCGTAGGATTATTACGTCTGGCCAGCCTACGGTCTATCCTTGTACCGATGACGTTAGGAAGTTTTCTGCTTTGGCTGACGTCTTCGGCAATATGTCTTGGGCTGACATTTGGCCGAGGGGATTTTGGAGATCGAACAGGTTCCTGGCTTCACGTTATCTCATCAACGTTCCTGGTCGTAGTTGTCCATGTGTGGCTTTGGGTTGCAGGTTGCAGCCAGTTGTCCCGACTTCGCGTTGAGGAGCGAGTGTCATTTGCCTCCCGGGTAAGTCCCTATTTTCCATATCTCTGGTAATGTAGCTCTAGAGAGCTGTAGGGGCTCCCCTTTAAAAAACCAGCATTGAATGTCATGAAAAACCATTTTCTGGGTGAGCCCCGGAGGCTCCCTGGCAACCCTCCATCTCTCTGGTCGGCATTTTTTTTCTTTTGACGCCCAGCCTCCGAACTGGATGGCTTGGGTAGCCGGCGAGGAGGTCCGGGACCTCCCTTCCCCCCTCCCAGGGGGGAGGCGGGGGGGGGGGGGAACTGCACGGACTGGTGAAGTGGCAGTGAGGTGTGACGTTTGTTTGTTAGCTTGTTTTCTTAGGTTGTAGTTCTGCCTCCTTGTTCTGTTTTTGATCTCTTCTTACCAAGTGGGATTGGTTTTGTTATGCCTGCCTTCCTGGGTGCCAACTCCAGTCGATGGCAGACATGGAATGCCACCAACCATATGGGGGGTTTCTATAGGCCATTGCTCCCTTTTACACCTCTGAGAGGGCCAGGTTCTGGCTCGTGGTCTCCGGTGGGCTGAACTCCATTGACTGATGCCCCAGGTCTAATATATATGGCATATCAGCCCGATAGCTCCAGGAAGCCTCTGGGGCTCACCCAGAAAATGGCGTTTCGTTACATTCAGTGCTGATTTTTTCAACCTTCTCTTTGCCTCCAAGATAACTTGGCCAAAATGCAGTGACCACAAGACACTCAAACTCCCTCCAATAAAGGGCTTCTTTTTCCATAGTCAGGGGACTGGAAGCCCTTATCGATGTATGGAATGAATTTAGGGCGCCTGACAGTTGGGTGGACAGCACTTCGGATTCGTATTCCTGAGGTTCCGGGTTCGATCCCCACTGGAGGCGGAGACAAATGGGCAAAATGTTTCTTTCACCCTGATGCCCCTGTTACCTAGCAGTAAATAGGTACCTGGGAGTTAGGCAGCTGCTAAGGGATGCTTCCTGGGGGGTGTGTAACAAAAAGGAGGCCTTGTCTAGGACCGGGCCGCCGGGACACTAAGCCCCGAAACTATCTCAAGATAACCTCAAGATAAGACTACTCTCTTCCCCAGGATAGAACCCCAGAACATTGCCTGACTTCAGTTATACATGAACTATTGACACATCCCATGACACTACTGTTATTAATGATAATTATTATTATTAAGAATTTTCTTTGAAGAATAATTTGGTTATGACTGGCACGCTTGCATGACAGTTACTGGCATGACTCTCAGCAAAGTGTGATGCCACACAAGGAACTTGCAAGTTTTGTTCTTCAGGCACAATTTGTTCTTTTCAATGTGTGTAACCAGGATGTAAATTGCAACAGAAAGAAGGATGGGTTTGTAGGGGCTGTTGGTTGCATTTTTAGGGACAAATAAGCATAACCCAAGAAACATTAGTGGACTATAATTGAATTTGGAAGCAAAAGACTAATCATTAATGTTTGAACGATTTTCTTTTTCAGCACATCATCAAGTTTCACAGAGCTGCCAAAGCAAATAAAAAGACTGTGCAAGTAACAAAGGGAATGGTCAAATCTCTCCTGTATCAGATTTTAGATGGAATTCGTTATCTCCACTCAAATTGGGTGCTGCATAGAGATTTGGTAAGTTGAGCAGTCCATTGAGATGTTTAAATTAGTGTGACATGGTCTGTGTACTCACACAGCCAGAGTAAGAGTAATTGCATGCTTAATTTATTAAGAACGTAAAAATAACAGAGCATCACGGAAGGCATAGTGGCCTATACTGCAGTTCCATTTTAAATCCACACCCCCTCTTGTCCCTGTTAAATCCACACCCTCTCGCTTGGGTTAAATCCACACCCTCTCGCCCGTGTTAAATCCACACCCTCTCGCCCGGGTTAAATTTGCATCCTCTCACACGGGTTAAATTCACATCCTCTCACCCGGGTTAAATTCACATCCTCTCACCCGGGTTAAATTCACATCCTCTCACCCGGGTTAAATTCACATCCTCTCACCCGGGTTAAATTCACATCCTCTCACCCGGGTTAAATTCACATCCTCTCACCCGGGTTAAATTCACATCCTCTCACCCGGGTTAAATTCACATCCTCTCACCCGGGTTAAATTCACATCCTCTCATCCTTGTTAAATCCACACCTTCTCACCTGTGTTAAATCCACACCCTCTCACCCATGTTAAATCCACATCCTCTCGCCCATATTTCTATGAAATGCATTCTTGAAACCTGTTAAACTGTTACTTTTAATACTGGCAGCCTATATAAGATTTTACTAATTTCTGACCACAACCTGCAATGCAATGTTGTCTATATGAATATGGCAGACAGCTTGTAGTAATTTGTTGAAGATACATCATAATTACCAGAGCAGCATTACATGTCCCACATGAACCAGATTTTCAAGCTAGTGAAGAATGGTTGGAAAGATTTAAGAATAGGCATAATATTAAGAACAGGAAAATTGCCGGAGAATCATTAAGCAGCTGAAACCAACACAGCAGCAGCAAATACCAACGAAGTTGGTGCAAACATCTAGAACATTGTGTGTGGAGTGTACAGTTCGAACTGGTGTTAAATGTAAGTACAGTACATAGCGTTAAAATTAAAGTTGCAATAATTTTAGTGTACAATAGTTTTCATAAACTGTACTGTAGTACTCAACATACAACAGAACTATATAATCAATACAGTGCTAACTGCATAATACAGTACTGTACGTATGTACTGTACAGTATTCACAACTTCATGACAATTCAAGATGGACATACTCCAACAATAAGGTAAATAAAACTATAACACAGTATTTCTGTGGGAAGCCCCTACGGCTCCCTGGAGCTTACTAGGCTAATGTATGTTATATTAGACCGGGACATTAGCTAAGGAGTTCAGACCTACCAGGGACCAGCACCAGAACCTGGCCCCTTCAGTGAGGTTTCAGGGAGCAATGGCCCTGGAAAACCCCCTTGTGGTTGGGGGTTTCCTTATCTGCCATCGACCGGGGTTAGGCACCCAGAAAGGTAGGCATAACAAAACAAACCCCACATGGTAAAAAACTAAAACAAAAAAACGAAGAGAGGTAGAAACCTCCCTACAATCACAAGGAAACAAGCAAACAAGCAAACATCACACTTTACTGCCGCGCCGATCGTCCGCGCAGCCCTCCCCGCCCCTAGAGGGGGAGGGGGAAGCCTCAGACCTACCGCGCCGGCTGCCAAGCTTCAGTTCGTAAGCTAATGTCAACTGGGATAGACGCTTTTCTGGCCTCAGTTTCCTAGGCGGTGTTTGCCTTGTGTGGCATTCACTGCCGTGTGTTGTGTTGTGCGGTGGCCAGGAGTACCTCATCAGTGCCAGGGCTGCATGCACTTAGTGGCTGACTTCCCTAAGTGCCCTGTGAGTACTTCCCTTGCGTAACAGGGTTATCTTCCCTGGGGTGTTCGGGAACCGTTCCCGTAGAGGTTCTTGCTGCTCGGCATTTGCCTCGCCCTTGGGGCCAGCTGTGGCTTGGGGCCCTTGTTTGGCCCTGGGTAGGGACTGGTATTGTGCTGGTTAGGGCATCAAGGTGTTGCACAGCCTGCCACCTAAGCGGCGACCAGTTCCTGTTGCCTCTGGAGACGGTGTACTTTTGCGGGGTTTTTCTTTTTTTATTTTCATGCCTGGTGGGGGTCTGCCTAGTGTGGCTATAGTTCCACTGGTAATGTTTGGCGGCCCTCTACTAGGCACCCATGATTGTACACGTTGCAGGGGTTTTCAGTGCTATCCTCTACCCTCTTGTTATGTTTGGGTTTCTTAACCGGTTAGCAACACCTTGCCCAGGCTTCCCATAACAGTCAGCTTACGGGCCCTGGAAACCCCTGTCTGGGCTCGGGGGACCATTGAATGTGTCTTCCGGGTTCCAACCGTCTTGTACGAGATCGTTGGTTGCTGTTTCCTTGTCTCCGGGTGACAGTCGCCATTTTTACCTCCGTCATGCTGCCTGTTGGGTCATTGACACCTTGACCCGGAGTCTTGTGAGAGATTCTCTGCTTGTTTTCCAGTACTCTCCTGATGTTATTACTGTTCAGAGTACAGGCGGCATCCGTGTTGCAAGCTAGGTTAGGTTGCTGCAACATGCTAGGTTGGTTTCCCACTCGGATGCCCCGAGGCCGCCCCGTTTGGTTAGGTGTTGTTCGCCTCTTTCCCTCTGTTCCCGGCTCCGGACTGTCTGTGGATTTCGGGGTCGGGGCGGGGTTTAGTTGGGGCCGAGACTCGGGCGGTTTTCGGGGGCTGCCCTGTTCGGGTTGGGGGACGGAGTTTTTTTCGAGCCGGTTCCTCCTGCCAAGGCTTCTGGGTCTTACCAGCGGCCCTTTCTTGCTGCCTTTCCCATGGACTCTTGCTTTTCTTTAAGGGCGGAGGACTTGGAGGACGGCTCTGCCCCGGGGCCTCTGTTGTTGGTTCCCGGGGCTGTGGGGGATGCCTGCTAGCAGTTCTGGGGCGGTTTGCCCCTGCCTGGGTTTTCTGCTGTTGGGCGGCGTTTTTCGCCCATCCAGTCTGCTTGCTTCCCACATTTGCTGGCGTGTTTTTGTATATTTAGCGTCAGTCACAGCCCCTGCTGGCGTCCATTTTCTTCTGCCGGTTTCCTGGCGTGGCCACCAGGGCGGCGTTGCGGTTTGTTTACGTGCGACTGGGTGTGCGAGCGAGCTTCTCGGGTGAGTTTTCACCTTTTTTTAGGGTTTTTTATTATCCTGTTGTTGTTTCTTTGCTTTTCTGGTGTTTTCTGCCCGTTGCCTGTTCCTCTGGGAACGTTTGGGGTGTTGATTTTACACCGGGTTTTCCATTTTGTCTGTTTTGGGCTAGCTAACACTGCTACTACCGACAGCAGCCACTTTGTCCTCTCACAGGACCAAGTCAGGAGTTCTTGACTGCCCAAGGTGAACTGCCCTCAGCACAATTGCCTCCTCATGTCACCTCTGTGAACATTAACGTCATTAGCTAGACGGACAGTATACTGGGTGGCCTTAGGATAACTCTTCCGCCAGGGAACTGAAATTGTAATTGCATGCACAAGCTAGATGGTGTTGATATTGTTATACCACCCACCAAAGGTCATCATCATCATCAACCTCGCCTCCTAACTGAGGTATGAAACAGGAGATTTATGACTTTCACCGACGCAACATTACCGCCAACAGATGGCATTGTCTGCTTCTCACCTAATACCTGGGAGCTGGAGTGCAGGTCTCTAGATGGTGCCAAAATTGCCACTCCACACTCCGGCAACGGTGCTGATACCGTAACAATTCACAACATGGTTTCACAAATGGCCATTCATGTTTAATGAATTTGCTATCATTTTACTCCAGCATAGTTGAGGCAGTTGATGATTGTTTGTGATGAGGTTTGTGATGATGTGTATCTTGACTTTAGCAAAGCTTTTGATACAGTACCACATGAAAGTGATTGAAATGATAGAGGCTTATGGTATTGGGGGGTGCTATATTAAGTTGGAGTAGGGCATGGCTGTACCAAAGGAAACAGAGTTATTATAAATGGGGTTAAGTCAGAGTGGGAAAATGTAAGTGGAGTTCCTCAAGGCTCTGTCCTGGAACCTCTGTTATTCATAATATATATAAATGATTTAGATTCAGGTTTGAGCAGCAGTATTTGCAAATTTACCAATGATACAAAAATCGGGAGGGAAATAAACACTGAAAAAGACTCACTATCACTTAAAGACGATCTAAATACTGTAGGGGTTTTGAAATGGTAAAAAATTTGGCCATTTGGAAATGTCCCTCGATTGGCAGATGCAGTTTAATGCTGACAAATGTAAGGTTTTGAGGTTAGGTAATGATGATAGAGTTACAAGATATGAGCTAGATGGTGTTGAGACTGCAAAGTCGGATTGCGAAAGGGATCTGGGAGTTATGATTAGTAAGAATTTAAAACCAAAAAATTAATGCATAAATTTTCGTAATAAGGCAAATAGGACACTGGGATTTATTAATCGAAGCGTTAGTAACAAGACGCCTGGAGTTGTTCTTTACTTATATCTTGCTCTGGTTAGGCCCCATTTAGATTATGCAGTTCAGTTTTGGTCGCCGTACTATAGAATGGATATAAATTCACTTGAACATGTCCAGCGTAGGATGACAAAGTTAATCCCCAAATTAGAAACCATTCATATGAAGAAATATTGACAAAGCTTAAATTAAATTCTCTAGAAAGGCGAAGAATTAGGGGTGACATGATAGAGGTGTACAAGTGGAACTTGACAAACACCTCCAAAGGATACCTGATCAACCAGGCTGTGACTCGTACGTCAGGCTGTGAGCAGCCACATCCAACAGCCTGGTTGATCAGTCCAGCAACCAGGAAGCCTGGTCGACGACCGGACCGCGGGGACGCTAAGCCCCAGTAGCACCTCAAGGTAAGGTGGATGAATGGGCATAACAAAGGGGGATATTGGTAGGGTGTTGAAAGTATCAACACAAGACAGAACACGAAACAATGGGTATAAATTGGATAAAGTATAGATTTAGGAAAGACTTGGGTAAATACTAGTTTGGTAACAGGGTGGTTGATTTGTGGAACCAATTACTGTGTAACGTGGTGGAGGTGGGGTCCCTCGATTGTTTCAAACGTGAGTTGGACATGTATATGAGTGGGATTGGGTGGTTATAAATAGGAGCTGTCTCGTATGGGCCAATAGGCCTTCTGCAGTTAACTTTGTTCTTATGTTCTTGTACTAGTGTTCAGGACCCCAACTTAGTCAGAAACCAATCTTCGATATAAGTTAGCAAAAATTGTGTTTTACGTATTTTGTGTTGCACATATATTTAAAACTGTGTAAACCAAATTGATTTATAATTATTTGTTTCAGAAACCAGCAAATATTCTGGTCATGGGGGAAGGAATTGAACGAGGTCGTGTCAAGATTGCAGATATGGGTTTTGCACGACTTTTTAATTCGCCCCTCAAACCTTTAGCCGATTTAGATCCTGTTGTAGTAACATTCTGGTACCGAGCACCAGAACTACTTCTGGGTGCACGTCATTACACAAAAGCAATTGGTAAGTGTGTAGTTTTACTTTTTTTTTTTTTAATTCAAAATAGTAGCCTCGGCCTCGGCCTGATGGATAGCGCGCAGGACTCGTAATTCTGTGGCGCGGGTTTGATTCCCGCACGAGGCAGAAACAAATGGGCAAAGTTTCTTTCACCCTGAATGCCCCTGTTACCTAGCAGTAAATAGGTACCTGGGAGTTAGTCAGCTGTCACGGGCTGCTTCCTGGGGGTGGAGGCCTGGTCGAGGACCGGGCCGCGGGGACACTAAAAAGCCCCGAAATCATCTCAAGATAACCTCAAGTAGAAATATGTTACAATTTTCTGTTATTTTCACATAAATCTGAATCTAGATGGTCATCATTATAATCTTTTTTTCTCAACTCTAATTCTTTGCCACTTAACACTTTCGCTCACCCCGCGCGCCACCCCTCGACAGGGCGATATGGGCCCCAGCGTGTCACGGAAGCGCGCGTTAATTCCGAAAAGTGTATACTCTCTTCAACTTTGTCACCTCAATTCTCCTTCTACGAGAATAAATTTGGTATCATTGTGTTCGCAATAAAATTCTCTACAGCACTAAATGCATATAAACTCCAAAAGCCCGGCTAATTACCCGCAGCAAACAGAGAAAGTGCGAACGAGTTACCCGGGAGCGCGCAAACGGGATAAAATGTTTTCACTATTTTCACTCTGGTCACCTCAATTTTTGTCCTAGGTCTTTCATTTTGGTCTCAATGGGTTCGTAATAAAATTCTCTAGAGGAACATTAGCATATAAAGAAAAACACCTGGTCACGCTCCAACCGCCGACGAGTTGAAGACGGGCCACGCGTTAGCCGTGAGTGAGCGCTCAGAGGCCTTCCTACTACACTCCCAATTCCCACCCTTTTCAAGCCTTTCTTTCGCAATTTTCTTCCTGGAAGGGCCTTGTTCATGATTACTATCCATCGTGGAGTAAGCGTAGATAGTTTCTAAAGCCGCAGTAAGAAATATAGCCACGGAAAATAGCCGAAATGTTCACACGTTTGAGATGCGAGGGGAGACGACATTGGTCACAACAGTGGAGCAAAGACAATGGGCCCACGGCGTGTGCCAAGCCGCCTGAGGGCCACGAGGCTCAACAAAGGAAATGGGAAGACATCGGCGCACATTTTAAAACCAGTCCCCAAAAAATCGGATACAAACCTGATTTTTGGCGAATTTTTAAAGTGGATGACGCAATGCTGCGTCATCCCCGGCATTACCGCCAGTAAACGGATGACGCAATGCTGCGTCATCCCCGAGCGAAAGTGTTAAAATAAATTCTTGCCTCTGATATATTCAAGTATTCAGGCAGGGTTACAGTTACAATATGTCTGCTAAATTTGTCCTGTATGTGCAATATATGGGGGGAATGCCTTTGAATATCTCCCTGAAATTTCCTAAGGTTTGGTGTAGCTTTGCAGGAGGTGCAAGAAGGTCCCTATTGCTATTGACTCATAGAACCCTCTGGTGGCAGATTATTGAACAATTTCAATACATTGTTGTGGAGGGGAAACATCTGACTAGGGCCTAGTTACTCAAAGCCTGGCAGGCTGTGGCTACCCTGATGGCATCAGTTTGAGGCTAAGGAAGCGTCATAATTGCCTCGAGCTTTTAATTTCACTTAATGTGTTATTTTTCTTCCATACACTGTACATTATTTCTTTTGCAGATATTTGGGCAATTGGCTGTATTTTTGCAGAATTGCTGACATCAGAACCAATTTTCCACTGTAGACAAGAGGACATTAAAACTAGTAATCCCTATCATCATGATCAATTAGATAGGTGAGTTAGTTTTTCATTTTGTTACGTTATGCTGCTGTGCTTTCCTTGTTTGGAATTGCAAACACTCGAACTATTGAAATAAGCTATGCACAGTGTCCTTTTGAAACTGTCAATAGCAAAAAGCAGTGTTTTGTATTAGAGTAAAATTTAACTTTCATTAAATTTGCATTTAGTTACAACAAAACTGGTGAGAGGGATATTCTTTACTACCGTGTTTGTGGTAAACAGTAACTAAGTGAGGAAGCGTGAGATATCTGGCAGCCATTGCCTCGGTCACCTGCCTCATTCTTGCCACATGGTTTACTTACTTTAATTGTAGGTAATTTATTATTCAATACATGGCATTCAGTGAGTAGTAGCAGAATGGTTAGATGCATAATGGACTCTGGAACTGAAACCCAGTTCTGTATTTGTTTAGCTGCAAAAGAAGTTAGTGCCACTTCGGTTTACGAATGCCCCTATGTACAAACATTTTGGGTTATGATCCCAATTTCTTCCTAAAACGTGAATCGGCTTACGAGCTTTTCCTCTGGTAACGTAGTTTGTTGATACGCATATGGGCGACCTAGCATGGGGTTCCTGGTGGCACGGTCTCCCACGCTTCAGTTTACCAGTGCCTCCCGCTTAGTGACCTGGTTGATACCTGGTTGATGGGGTTCTGGGAGTTCTTCTACTCCCCAAGCCCGGCCCGAGGCCAGGCTCGACTTGTGAGATACGCATATGACGATCGCCCTTGAAGTCTTTGTCAAGACTTTAATTGTTCTTCGGCTTATTTTGGGTTTGAACATAAAAGTAATTATTACATATCACACCATGGGTCCCAAGAAAGTCAGTGGTAAGGTTCAACCTAAGAAAACACATGTGAGAATGACATATAGGAAAACAAGAGATTATTCGTAAACATGAAAATTGGTACACAGGTTGTTGAACTAGCTAGGCAGTACAACAAATGTCAGCGATATGCACTGTACAGTAATTGCTAAGAAAATGGACATTGAGTGCTAAAGTGGCAAAAGGCATATTAACAATCACAAAACAAAACACAAACAATTGAGGACGTTGAAAAGTTATTAATTTGGATATACAACAAGGAGTTAGCAAGTGATAGCGTTTCATTTGTGAAAAAGCAAGGCAATTGCATGAAGACCTTTTAAAGAATACCCCTGGAACAAGTGATGCAGATATGAAAGAGTTTAAGGCAAGCAGGGGTTGGTTTGAGAAATTTAGAAAAAGAAGTGGTATGCATAGTGTTGTGAGGCATGGGAAGGCTGCCAGCTCAGACAAACCAGCGGCTGAAAGATTTGCTGCCGAATTTAAATATTTTGTAGACAGTGAGGGATACCTACCACAATAAATGTTTAATTGTGATGAGACAGGACTATTCTGGAAAAGATTGAAAGAGGACATACATTACCCAGGAGGAGAAGTCATTTCCCGGACACAAGCCTATGAAAGATAGGCTAACTCTTGTACTGTGTGGTAATGCGAGTGACAACTTGAAAATTAAATTTTCTCCCTGGAAGGGGACTCCCCTGAGACTGCCCGAGTCTCAACACCAACTAAACCCTGCCCTGACTCCGAAACCCTCAGACACTTCGGAGCCGGAGGCAAAGGGAGAGGAACCGGATGGACAACAGAAGAAGAAGGACAAGGAAGGGGGGGGGGGGGGAAGGATGGAACCAGAGCTGAAGCGATTCCCACCCCCCAAGTCCGGGTCCCTAAAACCAAAATGGGGCATCTGGGGAAGCAACTAACCTAGCACGATGCAGCAACCTAAACCTAGCATGCAACGCAGCTGCTGCATGCACCCTCATATCATGATCAGTAGCTTGAGTGAACTGGAGCACATACAGGCAATTCAAAATGTGATTCAAATAATAGCTATTTGTCAGGAGTCAGTAGCTCTGTGGTATTTGGGTGTATTGCCGAGTGGGAGACATCCTCGAGGTCAGGGGAGACAAGTCAGGAACATGTTATGCCAGTGTCACATACTTGTTCAACATCTCGTGCACCTTGGATCTCCTGCCATCTCACTTATGGGCATTCTAGCTCGTATGTAATGTTAATTTTAGTAGAAACAGTCAATTTGCATTGTTTCTGATTAAAATCTAGTTCTTTATTGGTACAGTATAATGATTTTAAAGAATAATATGAACTTATCTTTCCTCAGAATCTTTAATGTTATGGGCTTCCCACAAGAAAAGGACTGGGTTGACATCAAGAAAATGCCAGAGCACGGTACATTAATGAAAGACTTCAAGAAGAACAAGTAAGATAACCGACAGCTTTTCTTTGCCATTTTCTGTTATTACAACTTATTAATGCAAGAAACATAACATGAATTGTTTTCATTTTCCAGGCTTGTTAGGCATCCTTCAGCAGACACACATTGTGGTATTGTCACGTATATATTAGTTATACCTTTATCTCCAGTAGGGATCCCTTATGGTATTGTCGTGTGTTATTAGTGATCCCTAGTAGGTTATCTTGAGATGATTTTGGGGCTTTTTAGTGTCCCCGCGGCCGGATCCTCGACCAGGCCTCCACCCCCAGGAAGCAGCCCGTGACAGCTAACTAACACCCAGGTACCTATTTTACTGCTAGGTAACAGGGGCATAGGGTGAAAAAAACTCTGCCCATTGTTTCTCGCCGGCACTCGGGATGGAACCCGGGACCACAGGATCACAAGTCCAGCGTGCTGCCCACTCGGCCGGGATAAGGGATCCCTTATGATACTGTGTACAGTATACAAAAATTCAATTGGAACAATGAGGTGACTCGAACCATAGCTCAAGAAACACCCAGCCATGCACCTTACCCCTGTACCACGACTTGGTATAAGTTATACAGCCTTGTATTCTATTGAATTGAGAGGAAGTCTGGAGGCTTCTTCTGAAAACAGTTCAGGTGTTGCATACGGCTCCCAACTTCTTTGGTGTTTGTAAAGTAGTCTGTCATTGTACGCTCCAGCTTTGGGTACCCAATTGATTATCTCACTGATATAGTTTAGTTCATTTATTATGCACCCCATACCCATCTTGTGGGCAGTAGTGGAAAGGGTTACAAAGGCACATAATGGGTTCAGTCCCTGAGCCTATTATGTGCCTCTGTAACCCTTTCCACTACCGCCCACAAGATGGGTATGGGGTGCATAATAAATGAACTAAACTAAGTCATTGATATACAACACGTTAGTGTGATTTCTGTGTGTATAATCATACAGATGTTAGTTATCTCTAGTAGGGATACCTTACAGTATGGTCATGTATATTAGATATCCCTAGTGCCTAGATATCTACTGTTTTGAAGACATTTAAGGAAGCCTCTGCACTTTTACTTAGTCTTGCTTATCTTTACTCTGTATAATTCAAAATGTACATTTTTGTTGGTTTGAACCATTCTTAAATTATTGTATTGTATAGCATTTATTTTGTAAGCGCTATCTTGAACAAATATAATTGTAAAGTCATTTGTTTGGTATCACTGGAAATTTAAAATATGACTAATTGAGCACAAAGAAATCACAGTGGCATGCTATATCAATGAGGTGACTTGAGCCAGCATTTTGGTGATTCCCAGACACTTGCCTTAACAACGATAGGACAAAATTCAGTCAACCCGGAGCTCTACTGATTTCGCTGGGAAGGCCAACTGGTGCCACAACTAGATTTTTGCGATTGGCACCGCCTACACTCTGGCCTGTGGGTAATGGTGTACTTAACCTTGTGGTTAAAGTTACTCCATCACCCTCCATCACCTCCCCTCCATCACCTCCCCTCCATCACCTCCCCTCCATCACTTTCCCTCCACCACCTTCCCTTCATCACCTCTCCTCACCTCATTGCTTCAAATAATTTTCTCATTGATACGTCATGCCATTATGATTTTGTTTGTGTTCATAAGATTGAGCATACCGTTACCCACAGACCAGAGTGTAGGTGGGCCAGTCGTGTAATTCTGGTGGTGGCATCAGTTGGGGCCTCCAGACCTTCCTAGGGAATTCAGTAGAGTTCTGGGTTCACTGGCATTTGTTTTATCGTGGCCGAGTTGGTTAGGCAAGCGTCTGGGAATCACTGAGGTGCTGGTTCAAGTCGCCTCGTTGCCTCAAATGATTTTCTCGTTTGACTAATTCTTAATTTTGTTTAGCCCTCTAAATCGTTAAAAAAAAAAAGCAAGTTTAAATACCATATGTAAATCATTAAATATTTGGAGTTAAGAAACATGAACTCTGAGGTAAACATTGAAACTAACCCCTATATAGGCAACACCAACTTTCTTAATTCATTGGTATTTGTAAGTCGTCCATTTGTAGCTTGGAACCAGATTTTCCATAGGTTGCAGGGCAACAAGTGAGGGATGCAGGCCCAGACCACCGAAACTCATCATAAAGTGTCTCGACTCACTAATTCCGATGCTGTGTTGTGGACCGTGATCCAAAACAGAGATCCAAATAAATATATATTTACTTTGCCCAACAGTGCTACCTTAGCAGAGTTGTGGCGTGTTGATCAAGGCTCGATTGTTTCCAGGACGTAGCATGAGGGAGCTACTTCATTACCCCACTACACTAAGCCATTTCATTACATTGAACACTTCTGGACTTTGTTGAGGGCACAGGTGTGCAGGAAATAGGAGGAATGATAAGGTTAAAGAGGTATTTGGTGTATTAGTGAATTCAGTTTCTTTATTATGCGCTCCATACCCATGCCGTGGGCGGTGGTGTAAAGGATTACAGAGGCACATAATCGGTTCAGGAACTGAACCCTCTAGTTCGTTTAGCTAAGCAAATAACAATCTTTTGATGCTAGTTACAAAATTATTAATGTTATATATACATGTACACATACTCATACATACATGTACATATATATAAATATACATATATACATTTACATACATATTTAATCACCCACACAAATACACACAACAATAATCTTTTGTATTAATGAAAGAAGCCAATTGCTCTTTTCTTGTGATGGGATTGCAATTCAGTCCCTGCAATTCACCTCCAACCTGAATTGCAGGTCAAAGAAAGTGAGTGTTGACTGCAGTCATATGACTGAGCCTTATTGGTTACTAACTTTGCTTGTAGGTGGCAGCTCATGTCAGTGTATCGGGGGGCAATATCTAGGTCAGATGAAGATGCCTCTCTATTTTTGTCGAAGATTTTCTTATGGCCATAGCATAAATGTCACTTTTGCTGGAGTTAAAACTTCACATTACAATTTCTAATCTAATTTGTTGTGCTCTTCCTCTCTGCCATCACCACCAACTAATCCCCACTGTCACCTCTACAGCCTCCTTCACCACCACCACCGGTTGGCTGAGCGGACAGAACACTGAACGCTTGATCCTGTGGTCCCGGGTTCGATCCCGGGCACCTGCGAGAAACAACGGGCAGAGTTTCTTTAACCCTAATGCCCCTGTTACGTAGCAGTAAAATAGGTACCTGGGAGTTAGTCAGCTGTCATGGGCTGCTCCCTGGGGATAGAGGCCTGGTCGAGGACCGGGCAGCGGGGACACTAAGCCCCGAAATCATCTCAAGATAACCTATAACCACCACCACCACTACTACAACCATCACGAAGACAACCAATAATGCCCTATGCCCAGTCACACTGTACATAACATGAGTCTGTGCTCATCACGCCCCTTCAGCTTGTACTCCCTATATTCTTTACACCATGTAATTATTGCTTCCTCTAGTATTTACTCCTGTACGTTAATGGTCTTGTACTGTACTGTCATTTTGGTTTGGGAATTATATTTTTCTGTATGTATTTTGAATGAACATTAATTCACTGTATTTGAAGGAACATTGATTCACTGTACTTGAAGGAACATTGATTCACTGTATTTGAAGCAACCTTGATTCACTGTATTTGAAGGAACATTGATTCACTGTATTTGAAGCAACATTGGTTCACTGTATTTGAAGCAACATTGATTCACTGTATTTGAAGCAACATTGATTCACTGTATTTGAAGCAACATTGATTGACTGTATTAGCACATTGTACAGTGTGTGTGTGTGTATGTTTGAAGGAGGTTTGAGTGTTATCTTGGTGCATCATTACAGGTATTAATGGTATTTGAGTTAATTTACTTTTCTCTTGTTACAGTTACTCCAATTGTTCTCTTGTTAAATATATGGATAGACACAAGATCAAACCTGACGGCAAAGCATTCATGTTGGTGAGTTTACTTTACGTTATTTTCTTACCAACTAAAGTCCATTCAAGGTGTTGGAATGGTCTTAACCCTTGGGCTGGGCACTTGTTTACATGATGCAACACACACGTGATCACTACCTACAAAATTCTCAGAGGAATTTAAAGGGTAGATAAAGATAAACTGTTTAACACAGGTGGTACGCGAACAAGGGGACACAGGTGGTACGCGAACAAGGGGACACAGGTGGTACGCGAACAAGGGGACACAGGTGGTAAGCGAACAAGGGGACACAGGTGGTAAGCGAACAAGGGGACACTGGTGGTACGCGAACAAGGGGACACAGGTGGTAAACGAACAAGGGGACACAGGTGGTACGCGAACAAGGGGACACAGGTGGTACGCGAACAAGGGGACACAGGTGGTAAGCGAACAAGGGGACACAGGTGGTACGCGAACAAGGGGACACTGGTGGTAAGCGAACAAGGGGACACAGGTGGTACGCGAACAAGGGGACACAGGTGGTACGCGAACAAGGGGACACAGGTGGTACGCGAACAAGGGGACACAGGTGGTACGCGAACAAGGGGACACAGGTGGTACGCGAACAAGGGGACACAGGTGGTAAGCGAACAAGGGGACACAGGTGGTACGCGAACAAGGGGACACAGGTGGTACGCGAACAAGGGGACACTGGTGGTACGCGAACAAGGGGACACTGGTGGTACGCGAACAAGGGGACACAGGTGGTACGCGAACAAGGGGACACAGGTGGTACGCGAACAAGGGGACACAGGTGGTACGCGAACAAAGGGACACAGGTGGTACGCGAACAAGGGGACACAGGTGGTACGCGAACAAGGGGACACAGGTGGTACGCGAACAAGGGGACACAGGTGGTAAGCGAACAAGGGGACACAGGTGGTACGCGAACAAGGGGACACAGGTGGAAACTGAGCACCCACATGAGCCACAGGGACGTTAGAAAGAACTTTTTCAAGAACTTTTACAGTGTCAGAGTAGTTAACAGGTGGAATGCATTAGGCAGTGATGTGGTGGAGGCTGACTCCATACACAGTTTCAAGTGTAGATATGATAGAGCCCAGTAGGCTCAGGAACCTGTACACCAGTTGATTGACAGTTGAGAGGCGGGACCAAAGAGCCAGAGCTCAACCCCCGCAAACACAATTACGTGAGTACAGGTGCATCATTCCAAACAATTTTTTTCCTTTCTGATATTGTTTTTTTTTTTTTTTTTTTTTTTGAGATATATACAAGAGTTGTTACATTCTTGTTAAAATGCATTCCCTGATCACAGGTAAAGCAAAAAGCAATGCGACTTTGGCTGTAGTTAATCCTGGAAATCTAGTAAGTCATGAGCATTGATGCAGAATTCACCCATGACCAGTCCTGCCATGGGGTAGGAGTTGCCGCAAAGATGTTTTTAGATGTTTACACATTCTCAATGTTTCCGATTTGTTTTTTTTTCCTCTAGTTTTTCCATTAATATTATTCAGTAGTATGTCATTTGAAAACTTATATAATGTCATGATCCCCAAGCAAGGCTCGTGGTGTAGAACTTTCCCTATAAATCAGTGAACCTCCTGGCCTCAAATATGTAAGTTCAAACTGTATAGGGTTGAGTGAAAGTCTAAGTAAACCCCACCAGTTTACTGGGGCTAACTTATGTAAATGTCACCGCTTAATTACACAATATTTACATATCCACAACAAAGGAAAAATAATCAGGTAAGTTAACACAAGGCACAAGTCACGGCAGTTAGATGTCACTAAGCAAAGATAACTTAATAACATGGGTCCACTAAACAGCTTAAGACTGGCTGGTAGGTTGTGGACATGGTGGGTGGTGACGTTACATAGCCAGAGTGGGGGTGAGGTCTCGGCATGAACATCAGAAGACACAAGTCGGTGAACTATCACTTTGCCTTCAGAAAAACAAAGTCCCAACTGAACTGGTAAATGACACAGTCGAAAAAAACGCTTCTTAAAACTCAGAGTCTACAATGACTGACAAAAGGCAGTCAGTAAACTCGTCTACAGATTTTCAGTCCACAAGGACTGAAAATCTGGCAGTCAGGAATCTCCTTTCAACCATTAAAGTCCACAAGACATGAAATTTGACCAAGTCCTGGATCTCCTCTGAAAGTGATTCATATTCAAGATTAACAGGACTCAGAGAATAGCAGAGTTGTGGCTATAGTTAGTGATGTGTAGTACAGTACTGTATATTAAAGGAATTTTACTGCATCAGGTGGAGTAATCTGATGGTGTCGACTGCAAGTAGTATGTGGTGCTATGCTGTGTTTTACCACACTGTATATATACACACAGAAATCACAGTAGTGTGATACATCAAATGAACAAATCCACAAGGGCCTTGATGAGGATTTGAACGAGATGTTCCCAGACGCGTCTTAGTCAACTGTACCACCACATAGTCACTTGTGGATTTGTTCATTATATATATGTATATATACATATATGGGTGTAAGTGTGTGTGTGTAAGTGTGTATGTGTGTAATTACCTAAGTGTAGTTACAGGATGAGAGCTACGTTCGTGGTGTCCTGTCTCCCCAGCACTCTGTCATATAACGCTTTAAAATTACTGACAGTCTTGGCCTCCACCACCTTCTCCCCTAACTTGTTCCAACTGTCTACCACTCTGTTTACAAAAGTGAATTTTTTTGCACATCTCTGGCAGCTTTGTTTCATTAATTTAAATCTATGACCCCTTATTTTTTGAAGTTCCGGGTCTCGGGAATTCTTCCCTATCAATTTTATCGATTCCTGTTACTATTTTGTACTTAGTGATCACATCGCCTCTTTTTCTTCTATCTTCTAGTTTTTGCATATTTAATGCCTCTAACCTCGACTCGTAGCTCTTGTCCTTCAGTTCTGGGAGCCACTTAGTGGCATGTCTTTGCACCTTTTCCAGTTTGTTGATGTGCTTCTTAAGATATGGGCACCATACAACTGCTGCATATTCTAGCTTTGGTCTAACAAAAGTTGTGAATAATTTCTTTAGTATTTCTCCATAAGTGTATTTAAAAGCAATTCTCGAAGTTAGAAAGTGTAGCACAGGCTCCTCGCACAATGTTCTTAATGTGGTCTCAGGTGACAGTTTTCTATCTAGAACCACCCCTAGATCTCTTTGTCAGAATTCTTTAAAGATTTCTCACAAAATTTATAGGTTGTGTTGGGTCTATGTTATCCAATTCCACATTCCATAAGATGTCATTTATTCACATTAAATACTATTTGCCAAGTGGTGCTCCATTTACTTGTTTTGTCCAGGTCTTCTTGAAATGCATGATAATCATCTAAGTTTCTTATCTTCCCTATTATCTTAGCATGATCAGCAAAAATGTTCATATAATTCTATATTTCAACTGGTAGATCGTTTATGTAGAGAATGAACATTACCGGTGCAAGAACTGAACCCTGTGGTACTCCACTTGTGATGGATGTTGACTCGATGACAACTGACTCAACGTACTCAACATGTTAACTCGGATGCAGGTTCAAATCCTCCTCACGGCCCTTGTGGATTTGTTCATTTGATGCATCACGCAATTGTGATTTCTGTGTGTAATGAAGTAAGGGCGAAGAGGGAGAATGGCCTATTGACATAGCTTGAGTGCATGGGGGGGTGGGGAGTTGTGTAAAACCCTGGTTTGTGCCTCGGAGAGGCTGCAGGATCCAGTAAGTTCAGTAGAACTTCGTTTCAACATCTTTGACCAGGTCGTAGCTCAGTCGATTAAGGCAGCATCTGGGATGCTCTCGGATGCAGGTTCGAATCCTCGTCATGGCCATTGTGGATTTGTTCATTTGATGCATCACGCAATTGTGATTTCTGTGTGTAATGAAGTAAGGGCGAAGAGGGAGAACGGCCTATTGACATATCTCGAGTGCATGGGGGAGTTGTGTAAAACCCTGGTTTGTGCCTCGGAGAGGCTGCAGGATCCAGTAGAACTTCGGTTTCAACTCCTCTTGACCATGTCGTAGCTCAATCGATTAAGGCAGCGTCTGGGATGCTCTGGGACGCAGGTTCGAATCCTCGTCACGGCCCTTATGGATTTGTTCGTCCCCTTCCCTCATTCTTGTGGCCTGCATGACATGTTGATACATGAATGTCTCCAAGATGAGGTTTACAAATCTGCCTGTCCAAATGTCCTCTGTTCTTGCCGCGTAGGCCTCCCAGTCCATTGCCTTAAAGTTGAAGTCCCCCAGTACCAACAATCGGGATTTATCTTTGTCAGCTCTTACCATAATCTCTATCATGACCATTATGAGGCCCTCTCGTTTGTCATCCAGTTCTTCCTTTATCCATGTGTTTGCTTGCTGGTGGGCTGTAGGCATTTACAATTATCAGTTTATCCTGATTCCAGACCTGTAATGCCACTGTCACATATTGAGGGTTTTCAATTATTAACTCTTTTACCTTCGGGTGTTCTTTTACCAGCACAGTCACTCCTCCCCCCCCCCCCTTCCTAGTTTTCCCGTCACGTCTCCAAACTGAGTAGCCCCTTGGGAAAAGGACCTCATTTAAAATATGTTTTTCAAGTTTGGTCTGTTAATGCGACAGTATCTGGGACCTTGAGCTGAATTATATCCTTCAACTGCAATATTTTTTCTCAATCCATCTATGTTGGTATATACTATTTTCAGGAACATGTTCCTGTTCCCTTTGTTCTTTACACCCCCCCCTTCCTCTAATGATTTTGTTGCTTTGTCTGTGTACCATTTCGCTAGCTTTCCTGCCATATGTATATATGTATATGTATGTATGTATGTATGTATGTATGTATGTATGTATGTATGTATGTATGTATGTATGTGCGGAAAAATCACATGTGAAAAAATAGAGAATGTTAAACATATTTTTGGCTCGATTCGCCTTCATCAGAGAAAACTATTCACTCTAATGTGCTCTGATGAAGGCAAATTGAGCCGGAAACGCATTTAGCATTCTCTATTCTTCACATTTTCCACATACTTGGATCTTTTTGGATCATACTTGGGGTTTTTCCACATACTTGGATCTTTTTGGATCATACTTGGGGTTTTTTCCACATACTTGGATCTTTTTGGATCATACTTGGGGTTTTTCCACATACTTGGATCTTTTTGGATCATACTTGGGGGTTTTTCCACATACTTGGATCTTTTTGGATCATACTTGGGGGTTTTTCCACATACTTGGATCTTTTTGGATCATACTTGGGGTTTTTCCACATACTTGGATCTTTTTGGATCATACTTGGTGTTTTTCCACATACTTGGATCATTGTTTTTGTGATTGTTGTTGCACATATAAAATGTTTGTGTATATATGTAGTGCAATAACAGCAAAAAGAGTCTTTTTGTTTAAAGAATATAATATTGTGTAAATTAATGACAAATATATGTGTACTTATGTTCTACAAGTTCACTGATACAAACAACATTGACAGCCCAATGCATCACCGCACTTGAAATAAATTAGGCCATACCAATAAAAAATGAAGAAACTCTTTAAGTTGTTCAATGCGTGTACATATAACTTGGAGCAAGATGTTTGGTGCCAGGGTGACCGTGATGTTTCAATTAATATTGTGAATGACATATAAAATCTTAATTTAAATATATTATGCTCTTGAAATTGTTAATATACATATATATATATGCACTGCTCTAATGTAACTTCTTCAACTGACAGTTGCAGAAGCTATTGACAATGGATCCAACTAAACGAATTACCTCCGAGCAAGCAATGCAGGACCCATACTTCCTGGAGGACCCCGTACCAACTCAAGAGTTAGTAATCTTAATTGTCATCTTTTAGAATTACATTTCTTTTAATTTTCATGTCATAGTATCTTGTTTGATCTGTGCATGTACATGTCTGACAGTCTGACAGCTGGGTGGACAACACTTCGGATTCGTAGTCCTGAGGTTCCGGGTTCGATCCCCGGTGGAGGCGGAGACAAATGGGCAAAATGTTTCTTTCACTCTGATGCTCCTGTTACCTAGCAGTAAATAGGTACCTGGGAGTTAGACAGCTGATACGGGCTGCTTCCTGGGGGTGGAGGCCTGGTCAAGGACCGGGCCGCGGGGACACTAAGCCCTGAAATCATCTCGAGAGAACCTCAAGATGTGTACTATTTCATCAGTTTGATGATAAAACTAGTACAATTTATTGTTACGCCTTAGACAGCAGTTCTCTTCATCTGTCGATTCAGGGAGTAATGCGGTTATTGTTTTTTGACAATTTAAACAATTATTGTCTGGGTTTTACCTGTATGATGCAAATAAGGATGTAATAACTGGGCAACATGGACTTAGAGCAGGAAGATCATGCCTCTCGTAGCTACTTGACCACTATGACAAAATCGCTGAGGCTATGCACGAACTTCACAAAGGCATTTGATAAATGTGACCATGGAGTAATAACACACAAAATAATATGAAGTTGATGGCAATAACTGGTGAAGTAAGATTGTGGATATTAAATTTTCTGTTGAACAGAACAGAGTAACAGTCAACCAAATAAAATTGAGTCCAAGCTCAGTTAAAAGCTCTGTACCTCAGGGTACAGTCCTTGCACCGCTGCTTTTCCTTATTCTCATATCAGATATAGACAAAAGTATAAGTCACAGCTTCGTGTCATCCTTTGCAGACAATACAAAAATCAGCATGAAAATTATATCTGCTGAAGACATTGAAAAACTACAAGCAGATATTAATAAAGTTTTCGATTGGGCAGCAGAAAATAACATGTTTAATAGTGATAGATTCCAGGTACTCAGGTATGGTAAAAAATGAGGACCTTAAACAAAATCCAGGGTACAAAACACAAATCTTCCCATCCCCATAGTAGGAAAGTGGCAAGTAAAGGATCTGGTAATAACAATGTCTGACTACCTAATGTTTAGGAAGCATAACAAGCAAATATTGCGTCAGCCAGAAAAATGATTGGATGGATTATGAGAACTTTCAAATACGGGGATCCCATCACAATGATTGTACTCTTCATATCACTTGTGTTGTCCCATTGTGAGTACTGCTCAGTACTCACTCGCCCCTTTATAGTGGGAGAGATTGCTGAACTGGAGGGATTTCAGAGAACATATACGGCAAACATAGACATGATAAGCACCTAAATTATTGGGATTGTCTCAAAGTTCTCCAAATGTACTCCCTAGAAAGGAGACGAGAGAGAGATCAATAATGTATACAGTGTATGGAAAATACATGGAATTGGGCAGGTCCCAAATCTCCACAGAAAAATAACAACATATTGGAGTGAATGATGTGGAAGAAAATGGAGAATAGAACTAGTGAAGAGGGGTACCATAGGTACAGAGAACACTGTATGAACATCATGTATGTTTATGATGGTCAGAGGAATGCAGGGAGTGATAGTGGTGTCAGGGAAGGCAAGTGGTGTCAGTGGTGGAAGTTGGTAGGGAGTGATAGTGGTTTCAGTGGAGACAGGTGGTGGAAGTGGTCAAGGAAGGCAGGGAATGATAGTGGTGTCAGGTGATGTCAGTAGTGAGCTCTGGCCTGAGTTATCAGCTATTCGTCAATGCGTGGCTGGCACCGCTGCCGCCTCGATGCTTCACTCACTCGCGGCTTTTCACCAAATTAGCTGACAAATTGCTACCATTTCAGTTGTTTGTAACACATGGCTCCATCATATTCCATAGTCAAAATGAAGAATTCATAATAAATGATGGTGTCAGTGGTGAGGGGAAGGCAGCTAGGCTCTACCTGTCAACATTTGTATTCATTAGCCCCTGGGCTGCTCTTGCAGTTATAGCCTACAACATGCACCGGCACAAGAAGTAAACAAAAAAATCATCTTATAAAAGTGTTCATTTGTGTTCCCTGATCACGGGAAAAATAATAATAAAATCGTAGGTGGCATATTTTGGCCGCAATAGGGTGGGAAGTCTGTCAAAAAAAAAAGGCATTGACAGAACAAGTGTCGGAGGAGGTCTGCTCCATCCCAGATGTCAGGCAGGAGTTGCCACAAAGATATTATTACCTAATTATTTCAATGTCTCTGACATTTTTTTTTCAGTAATATTATTCAATTGTGTGTAGTGTGATATATTTATATAATAAAATGTATGAATCATCGCTATATTCAAAAATATGGTGTGCATATTAGTGATTCAATTGTTATGTTCATAAAACAATAAACAAATAGTTTTGCAGTTATTACATTATATACACACATATATAAGTATCTGCATATTTTGTTCATCATAACGAACCACTAATTTGAGATGGTGACTCAAAAAGCAACGAGGAGTGGCCGCCTCACACCAGCCAGCCAGCCACTCACCGCCACTCCCTCCCTCAACAGCACCTCACTTGTCAACATTATCCTCCCACCATAGTGTTTTTGTTTTTATTCACTATACTGAATATAGATGTTATATATAAGTATGTACATGTTTTGTTCACCATAACTGTACAACTAAGCTGGTATGGTGAGTTCAGGCAATAAGAGACGTCCCTACACACACACAGTCGGCTAGCTGCTGCCTCCCTCACTGGTTCAAAGCCAGACACGTTAACATTTCTCGCCCAACAATACTGTTCGTGGTGTTATTACACTACACACACACACACACACACACACACACACACACACACACACACACACACACACACACACACACACACACACACACACACATTATATTCAAGTATCTGCATGTTTTATTCACCATAACTGTACAACTAAGCTGGTATGGTGCCCAAAGACCATAGTGGCCACTCTACACAGCATGACAAGTCATGCAGACGACACTGCCTCTATCACCCAAATGGCACACATTATATATAAGTATCAAAATTTGTGTTCACCATAGAGAACCACTGAGCTGATATGGTGAATGCAGGCAATAACAGGTGGCCACACACCTGGACAGGCAGATTTGTAAACCTCATCTTGGAGACATTCATGTATCAACACGTCAAGCAGGCCACAAGAATGAGGGAAGGGGATGTTCCGTCAGTACTGGATCTAGTATTCACCAGGAAAGAAAAAGAGGTATTTGACATCCAGTACCTTCCTCCCTTGGGAAAGAGTGACTACGTCCTCTTGGACATTAAATATGCTATGAGATATAATCTAGTAGAGAATGGGGACAGTGAAACAGTTAAACTCGATTTTAAGAGAGGACACTATGGGGAACTTAGAATTTTTTTCTTGGCTATAATTGGAGAGACTTGTTGCTAGGCAAGGAAGTAAATGAGATGGTATGCCAAATTTTGCAAAATATATGATGGAGGCACACAAACATTCATACCAAAACAGACATGCAGACCTGGGAAACAGGATTGGTTCAACAGAAATTGCGAGAGGGCCAGAGATCAAAAGACAGAAGCATGAAATCATTATAGAAAGAAACCTCCAAACATACCAGCGATACAAAGATGCGAGAAACAACTACATGTCAGTAAGGAGAGAGGCAGAGAGGAAGCTTGTGAATGGTATAGCAGACAAATGTAAATCAGATCCAGGACTTTTCTATAAATTCATTAAAAGCAAGCTGCAGGTAAAGGATAATATTCAAGAGGTTGAAAATGGGGGACAGATACACGGAAAATGAAAAGGAAATGTGTGAAACATTAAACGAAAACTTCCAAAGTGCGTTTGTACAAAATGAGGTCTTCAGAGAACCAGACACAATAAAAATTCCAGAGAACAGCATAGAGCACATAGAGGTGTCTAGAGACGAAGTGAAATAAATGCTCCTGGAGCTAAGTAAGAACAAAGCAGTTGGCCCAGAGGAAGTTTCACCATGGGTTCTGAGAGAATGTGCACCTGAGCTCAGTATTCCACTTCAGCTGAATTTTCAGACATCCCTGTGTACAGGAGTTGGTGCAGATGTGTGGAAAAAGGCTAACATAATTCCAATCTACAAAAGTGGCAGCAGGGAAGACCCCCTCAATTATAGTCCTGTATCATTGACAAGTGTAATAGTCAAAATATTGGAAAAAATAATAAAAACTAAATGGGTAGAACACCTGGAGAGAAATGATATAATATCAAACAGACAGTATGGTTTTCGATCTGGAAGATCCTCTGTATCGAATTTACTCAGTTTCTATGATCGAGCCAAAGAGATATTACCGGAAAGAGATGGTTGGGTTAACTGCATCTATCTGGACCTAAAAAAGGTTTTTGACAAAGTTCCACATAAGAGGTTGTTCTGGAAACTGGAAAATATTGGAGGGGTGACAGGTAAGCTTCTAACATGGATGAAAAATTTCCTGACTGATAGAAAAATGAGGGCAGTGATCAGAGGCAATGTATCGGACTGGAGAAATGTCACAAGTGGAGTACCACAGGGTTCAGTTCTTGCACCAGTGATATTCATTGTCTACATAAATGATCTACCAATTGGTATACAGAATTATATGAACATGTTTGCTGATGATGCTAAGATAATAGGAAGGATAAGAAACTTAGATGATTGTCATGCCCTTCAAGATGACCTGGACAAAAAAGTATATGGAGCACCACTTGGGAAATGGAATTTAATGTTAATAAATGCCATGTTATGGAATGTGGAATAGGAGAACATAGACCCCACACAACCTATATATTATGTGAGAAATCTTTAAAGAATTCTGATTATGAAAGAGATCTAGGGGCGGTTCTAGATAGTAAACTATCACCTGAGGACTACATAAAGAACGTTGTGCGAGGAGCCTATGCTACACTTTCCAACTTTAGAATTGCTTTTAAATATATGGTTGGTTGGGGAAATACTAAAGAAATTATTCACGACTTTTGTTAGGCCAAAGCTAGAATATGCAGCGGTTGTGTGGTGCCCATATCTTAAGAAGCACATCAACAAACTGGAAAAGGTGCAAAGACATGCTACTAAGTGGCTCCCAGAACTGAAGGGTAAGAGCTACGAGGAGAGGTTAGAGGCATTATATATATGCCAAAACTAGAAGACAGAAGAAAAAGAGGTGATATGATCACTACATACAAAATAGTAACAGGAATTGATAAAATTGATAGGGAAGATTTCCTGAGGCCTGGAACTTCGAGAACAAGAGGTCATAGATATAAACTAACTAAACAAAGATGCTGAAGAGATATAAGAAAATTCACTTTCGCAAACAGAGTGGTAGACGGTTGGAACAAGTTAGGTGAGAAGGTGGTGGAGGCCAAGACCGTCAGTAGTTTCAAAGCGTTATATGACAAAGAGTGCTGGGAAGACGGGACACCACGAGCTTAGCTCTCATCCTGTAACTACACTTAGGTAATTACACAGAGTCAGCAGACGACGCTATCCTCAGCATTACTCCTCCCACCATACAGCACAGCACTCATTATCACAACAATCCTGCTATTATCAGAATCCTGATCATTTATATCACAGTCAGGGGTCTTCTGTAATACTATCATCACTAAATAATACCAGTTACATATATATTTTACATTTTTAGGCGATGCTGTGGTCACAAACTGAACAGCAATGCTGTTAGCTCATGCTGCGTGCACCAGCCTTGGTGGCTCAGTCAGTACTGAGACTCTCACACCTGGGAACATTACCCATGTTTTTTTGTTTTTTAAATGGTGTCTGTTTACAAGAGCCCTGAGGAAGCTGATGGGAACCTCGTGTAGCTGCGGGACTTTTAAATGTTCGCTGTACTCCCAACCATTCATAGCTGTGGTACGCCGTCCTGCAATAGTTACTCACTCCTGCTATTAATGTATTGCACCCTTTAACCATTGCACTGTGCCGAACGACAAATGCTGTTTTGAGAGTTGTCCGATTTTTTAAAATTAGGCTATATTTTAATGTTTTTTTAATGTTTTCATCACTCTTTGTGTTTTAAAATGAAAATAGTTGAGTTTGCAAACATTTTGACGGTAACTTTACCTGAACATTTATAAAAAACAACAAAAATATGTCCTTAACAATTGCACTATGAAGTTTTTGCTAAAAATAGGTGCGCAGTATAGGGGTTAAGGGTTAGTCCTTTCTTGGTGCTAACATATCAAACAGGCTCTCAAATATTTCTCTCCTATCAGTCTATGTAAGAACTGAATTACAGTAACAACTTTAGTTGCAAATATATTTTGATGCAAAATTAAATTCTAGACTGACTAATAAATGTGTTTTAGTGTCTTTGCAGGGGGCCCTATTCCGTACCCAAAGCGTGACTTTCTGTCGGATGAGGAGCAGGATGACAAGTCTGATAATAAGGTAAGTTGAAGGAAAACAATATGTTGACTTCATATAGTTGAATCATGGAATGCTTTGTGCAGAATTGAGCAATTGCAACTGCTTGCTTGTGCATAAGTGTGAATTTCTTTGGTGAAAGTCATTAGAATTCTAGTTTTATATATAGAATGACCTCATAGTTAAATGACTTCATGGGGATTTAATATACTCTCTTGGCATATATTAATGCAGCTTTAGAGGCAAGAATTGTTTTGCAATTTGGTTAAAATGTGTAGTAATAGATTTGTTGTACTGTAATAAATTTGAAGAGATGTGATTGAGGGCAGAGATACCCTGTATAACAATGTTATGAAGGCTACACAACATTCTACTGAGGCCAACAACTGAAGTGGTGCACCCGTAGGCACAAGGCTCTATATAATAATAATACAGTAATAATAATTTTGTCAAAAGAATGTGTGTACAAAGAGCATAAGAGTAATGTACAGTTGTCGGGACAGGAGTTACACGTACTAATGAAGTCACTATTATGCAAAGTATTTCAGGCAAAACGTTAAAAAAAATGTACAACAAATTTAACCAAAGGTGTGAGGGATTAAAACACTTCATACTAAAGGAGAAACACTTGATACTAAAGGAGAAACACTTGATACTAAAGGAGAAGTAAACTAACAAAATAAGAACGTTCAAGGAAAATTAAGAAATGAATGTGAAAAAAGGTGATACTTAAGGATGACAGTCATAGACTATTACATTATGGAGTCAGCAGTTCTAGCAACAGTATACGGTAGTTTGTTTACATTGATAACAGAATGTTAATACTACGGTGTAGTTAAGGAAAGCAATTTTTCTCATAACATTGAGAATTGAGAAGATGTATAGATGTAGATGGTAGTGTTTAGAGTTTGTATACCTGTAGCAAGACTAGACAGTTGAGAGATGTGAATGAGTAAAAGGAGCCGGTCGGCCAAGCGGACAGCACGCTGGACTTGTGATCCTATGGTCCCGAGTTCGATCCCGGGCGCCGGCAGGAAACAATGGGCAGAGTTTCTTTCACCCTATGCCCCTGTTACCTAGCAGTGAAATAGGTACCTGGGTGTTAGTCAGCTGTCACAGGCTGCTTCCTGGGGGTGGAGGCCTGGTCGAGGACCGGGCCGCGGGGACACTAAAGCCCTGAAATCATCTCAAGATAACCTCAAGTAGATCCAAGAAATGAGGGAGTAATTCTAAGCTGCCAATAAGAGTTATTCATAAAGGAATTGTGAACTACAGATAGATAGTTTGGATATACACAATTAAAATGAAGAGGAATTTAAGTATTAATTAAAATATTATGGTATGGAAAGAAAGTAATTTTTCAAATAAAATGTGAATGATCCTTGAAGAAGAGATTAAATTTATTTATATTATATATATATATATATATATATATATATATATATATATATACAAGAAGGTATATTGGGATTGTGAGGATACACAGTAATTACATTCTTGTAAAGCCACTAGTACGCGCAGCATTTCGGGCAGAATTAGACACTAGGGGATGATAAAGGATTTCTGGTTTTGGAAAGGACTGCAGCTGTCACATGACTCGCTCGGTTGCCATTAATAAACTGAAGTTTTATGTAGAAGTAGCCAGTTAAAATGGATGCTGTAACCCCTTAACTGCGCGACCTCCAAATATGACACCCCCCAGTGCGCAGGAAATAAAATCTCTGGAAAAAATTATTTTCTGTTTTTAAAGTGTCAAAAAAACACTAATTTAACACTATCTACACACGTTATGTATACCTATCTACATATTTTATTCACCAGAACTATGCAAGTAAGCCGGTATTGTGTCCAAACTTTACAGCGGCCATCATACACTGCATGAGAAATCACACAGCAGCCAGCAGATGACGCTACGATTACGTCACCTGCCTCAACAAAATAGTTCCTCCCAACATACAGTACTCCTGTTGCTGTTACTACACTATATATACACACCACACACTGTATATACCCATGTACATGTGTTCCCCATAGCGAACCACGAAGCTAGTATGATGAGCAAAGCAAGAGTGGCTGCCACACAGTGAGGCTACCTCGATTCTCTCCCTCACCACAATTACTCCTCCCACAATACTACGAACAGTGTTTATTATCACCACAGTCCTGCTGTTATCACAATACTGGTAACTAAATCCTGTAAATACATAATTGACCACAAGTTTATTTTTAAAGGAACCTAAGAAGTCGTTTGAAGATTCCTAGATGGACGAAATAATTCTGTGGTGCTGTGGCTAGCGCTGTGAACATCGTGAACAGCATTGAATCAATAATATTTGAACATTGTACAGAGTCATTATCACACTCAGGCTCTTCTGTAATACTATGATGGCTAAATAATACAAGTTATATATATATTTTGACATTATTATGCGATGCTGTGGTCACAAGATGAACAGCAGTGCTGTGAGCTCATGCTGCGTGCGCCGACCTTGGTTGCTCACTCACTACTGAGGCTCTCACACCCGGGAATGTGGACCATGATTTTTTTTAAAGATGGCGTCTGTTTACAAAAGCCCTGAGGAAACCGATGTGAACTCCATGTAGCCGCGGGACTTTTGAATGGAACGTGAAAAATACAAATACTCGGAGGCGCCTAACGCACCCCGGACGGGGGCCTGCAGGCGCGTTGCGCAGTTAAAGGGTTAATTAATATTATTGTTGGCAGGTCATAACTTTTGAACCAAAGATTAGCTGACAATATAACATGGTTTACCGCTGACAACGGAAACATACACACAGTATTTTCTAAATAATTTGAAAAATCAAATTATTTTCAGAGCCATGTTGTAGCTCAGAACTACGACATGGCTCTGTAGACTGAGCTACGACCATGTCGTAGCTCAGTCGATTAAGGCAGCGCCTGGGATGCTCTCGGACGCAGGTTCGAATCCTCGTCACGACCCTTGTGGATTTGTTCATTTATGTACCTTGATCCCGGCTCTTTCCTCCGAAACTCCGTTCGTGGATTCAGACCAGTGGCTGTGCCTTGAGGTTGTGCATCATTCATATTGTAAATTGAACACTTATACAGTAATGCACCTAATTGGCTAGAATTGTGCTTTGAAGCATGCTATATTTGTTCATCCTTATTTTGGGGTCACTTTACACTGTTGCAGTAGCATAAGGGTGGGTGTTAGCTTGCCATATGCAGGCGATAAGTCACAATAAAGTGGCTAAATTATGTTGACCAGACCACACACTAAAAGGTGAAGGCACGACGACATTTCGGTCCGTCCTGGACCATTCTCAAGTCGATTGAAAATGGTCCAGGACGGACCGAAATGTTGTCATCCCTTCACCTTCTAGTGTGTGGTCTGGTCAACTTAGCTTGCCATACGTGCCCATCTTGTGTCTCGGAAGTCTGGTGTAATTCCTTGACATTATTCCTTGGTAATTCCTAAGGCCTGGCAGCCCCCAGGACTATAATTTATGGAACTACAGAGCATATCACCAGAGAGTGCATCTCATTACATTCTATACTTTATTTTTGAATATATACTATTTTTGTAAATTGTCTGATGCACAGTGGTCAGTGCATTCGGTCCATACCTGTAAGCTTTCGGGTTTTATTTACGTAGCACGAGAGAGATGCTTGGCTGTGTTTCCCTTCACCTGATGCTTCTGTTGACAAAGTAGTAAATAGGTACCTGTGAGTTACACAACTGTTGTTGGTGGCATCCTAAGAAAGGTCAGTAGTTGGCTTTGGGGGATCTTGATAAGCCTAACAGGCTTATTAATAGGAAATTCAAGAAAAAATATTTGAGTCCAGTTTTAAGTATGTGACAAATAGTTATGTGGTTCAATTAACTGGCAAATATTGCTCGCTGGGAGTCCTTGATGAAGGACTCATGATTGACAGAATTAAGTTCTGTACCGTATATTGTTATGTTATATAGGTGTCAAAATTCAGTAAATAGTTTTAGAAATTTAGATTTTTTTAGTACCGTGATGTAAGATGAACTTAATTTTTAGACTTGATACACTGTAGAGAGTGTGTATGTAAAGGGAATTTACATTTACTATTTATGTAAAGGGAATTGTGTGAAAATATATCCTGTAAATATTTATCCATTCAACATATAGGTAGCTCCCGGTGCTTGAATAATCCTAGGCTAAGTTTAGCAAATTTGTTTAGCCAAGATATTAAGTCTGTGTATTGAAATACATTAAATGACTTGCCAATTAAAGAGAATATACTGTACTCCTAAGTGGTTTTATAAGCAATAATGTTGAGTATAATACAGTATTTATATAGTCTAAAAATAAGGTGCTTTAAAAATAATTATAAAAGTCCAATGTTCTGGGTAGTTCAGTTAATTTTGCTATAGTTTCTTCTTGTATCAAGTCATAAATAGTTTGTTCCCAAATTTTGGTGTGATGGACTATGAAGGGTTCCGGAGAAGTGGACTTGTCAGTGAGGAAGATGCGGGTTTGAGCACCGTGATCACAACGAGGGAGAGTATTGAGAGGGAATTGTGTAGCATTATAGGGTGGCCTGGCCGTGTGATGGACGTGTGTTTCTCTTGGTTTTCCAGAAGAAGGTTTTCATGGAGCAGAGCTGGACCAATCAACAGAGAGCAGCAGCAGCCAAGGTTAGATACATTTGACTACAAGAAAATTATTCATGGTTTGGCATATTTTAGATTGGTTAAGTCAACTGAATACAATAGTACAGATTTTTCTTTGGTAATGGGTATGTGTTTTTTTTTGTATTTTTTTGGTAATCTTATTGTAACATTCAAAAGTTAGTAATATTGCAAGTATTGTAGAGTGCTGCGATTGATTGGGTAATCGTGGATGGTCCTGTGAGTTGCTACATCACGTCTAGAAAAGTTAACGTGTTGAACCTACATTTCTAGCAACACTTGTTACATTTTTAAGCTTCTTGTGTGTTTTGACTATTTTTGAGTGTACTCTATGGGGTTCGGGCGGGATATCTAACCTGGGTGTATTTTTGACCAGACCACCCACTAGAAGGTGAAGGGACGACGACGTTTCGGTCTGTCCTGGACCATTCTCAAGTTGATTCCAAAAATGGCGATTCCGCAAATCGACTTGAGAATGGTCCAAGACGGACCGAAACGTCGTCGTCCCTTCACCTTCTAGTGTGTGGTCTGGTCAACATACTTTAGCCACGTTATTGTGACTCATCGCCTTGAGTCTGTATTGTTCACTAGCTTAGGTAATGTCATTGAAACAATTGTGAAATATTTAAATAGCCAAAATTATTCTTCATGAATGCACATACTGTATATTTTAAAATCATAGTGTATATCAGCTTAATATAATTAATACAAAATGATTGTTTAAATTAGTAATATGAATATTGCTCATTATTTTGTTGTGTAAGCATCTGGTATAATGTAATATCCTTCCAAAAAAACAAAATCATATATTAAACATAGAGTAGTAATTTTTGGTAAATTATAGTTAATTTCTTCATTTAAACCAGTGGCAAAACTTGCTTAACAATCTGTCCTTAAATTTGATAACATAGTATCCAGTCATCCTTTTCGTTCATGGTAAGTTATATTCTTAATGGAATAATATGTACAGCCGTTGTATATAATTCATAATATGTACCCATGTTTTTTATTGTTAGTGTGTGTGTGTATATATATTAATACTGTATATACAAATAATAATTTTTGGTTGTTCGTGAAGAAAGTGGCACAGGATCATTCATTGACTAGTTGGAATTAGTTCTAAGAAACCCACTTAAATGTTATTACTTGCTCTTTCAAGAAGTTTCATTTTAATAAGCTTGACATTAGGAGAAGGCACAGCTTACCGAATTTGACGAGTTGACTCGTTCGTATTAACGTCGAGGACGTCAAGAGGATTCACTTTTACCGAGGCTGCCAGAGATGTATTGGCCTATTGTTACTGAATTAAATAATTAGTACAGATGTTTTTATTTATATATGATTAGTTATTTGATTTTTGTGTTGAATGTATTGAAGGAAAATCTGAAATAGTTAAGCCAGGAAATAGTCTTAGGTATATAGTGAGTGTTGAAGCATTACACTGTTGTGTGCAAGGTTTGTAGCTGATGAAATCCTCATTTTGCCATTATGCTTCAGTATTAATCATAGCTTTTCCCAGTCTCATTATTTGAAAGGATACGGGTGTCAAGATTTTGAGCTTTGCCGCTTAGCCCTTGAGAGCTTCATTCGCCTCTAACATGTCTCACTCCTCAAGACTGTTTTGCTAGCCCTTTCATCCATATTATGATTCATGGTGGTAAATTGGTACCAGATTTCATCACTTCCAAGAGGAGATTTATTTCCGGGTTGCCGGTATTGACAGACGTATTATTTTCTCGGTGTTTCAGAAGAAGATATTTATGGATCAGACATGGACAAACCAACAAAGAGTGCAGGCAGCAACCAAGGTTAGCAACCAACATTTCTGAGGCTTTGTATGGGCTGTATGCTAGATGTAGGCTGCCTCCTTTCTCTGATGCAGATTCCTTGTGTGTAGGAGGCATTTACAACTTGTAGGCTAGATAGATCTATTGTGCCTGTAAAGATTATATTCTGTTTAGGCTGTGATCATATTATGTGCTGCATCAGTGGCTTGATGATGATGATACACATTTAACTGTTATTTGTCAGTTTTATGTAATATATCAATTGTACCTAATATCCAAGCAATTTTGTCTACTGTATTTTGAAATATTTCTTTTCTAATTAGTTTTCCTTAATATTAACATTGCATGAATTACTAACTTAGGCCTAATTTCACTTGTTGGCTGTAATGAGAAATATTTGCCATATTTAGGCAGTCAGGTTGCTAAGTTACTTTTAGTTCATATCATAACAAAATTGTCTTGTCATTAAATTAAATATATCTTAGCCAATTTAAATCTTTGAGCAAAATTGTTTATGAAATCCAGTTTGTTAGGCAACTCAGGCTATTAGGTGTGACATGTACACTCAGATATACATACATTATTCTATAAATGTGTGTGTGTGTATATATACTGTATATATATACATACAATATACAGTTGTGTTTTTCCAAGTAAAGATAGGCAGTTGCTTATTCTTGTATAAACTCTGCACACGAGATGAGTGGCTTCGGGAGCCCAGTGATGCATTACTGTGACAAACTGAAGAGGGTGCCATTTTTTCCATTGGTTGTGTGGCCACTTTGTACCAGTTTGTGTTCTTCTAAAGCTTCCACTACTCTAGAGTCTTCCAGTAAATTATATTCTTTATCCAATTTTTGTATTTCTCTTATATACTTGCATCATCGTGTTTATGTTGACCTCTGTTTTTTACTACTTGTGCATGTTCTCTTAGTTTCTCTTAGCTGAGTAAGTAATGTCTGCTTCAGAGTGGTGCAGCTGTTATAGGTAAAGAAAGATACCTGGCTTCCACGTCCCATTTCTCCGCCTTGTGCTGCCTATAAAATCTATCGTTCATCTGCATTGTCTTCTTGTGGATGATGCATGCGATCATAACGTCTCACAACTTGCTCTGTCTGATGTCCCAGCAAGGTTTCCATATCTTGGTTGACCAGGGCTGGCCGTGGCTGTGGGGCCCAGTTGGGACTGTTTGGTTGCCCAGATCAGGAGCCAGGAGGCTTGGTCAGGGACAGGGCTGCAGGGGATGATTTATGAGAAATTATAATTTAATTTTTTAGAAAAATCAAAATATAAGTGAACAGCTTACTGTATCTAATGTCACTCATATCTGTATTGTCATAAGGAATTTATCAGACAATCATTAGCTTGCTTGTTTGCATTGGTTTATGACAAGTCTTTACAGGTTTGGCCAAGTTAGAAGGTGGTTCTACTTGACACAACTAGAGTAGATTAATCCTAGCACAAGGCCCAATTGGGAGCAATTGATCTAATTGGCTTAAAGCTGGCCCTGCATGACTCTGTACTGTTTGCAAGTGAAACATTATCTAAAAATAATGTCTATGCATATTTTGCTGTTTTCTACATAAACACTTTACACAGTACATTGGTACCTTTGTTCACGATTGTAATCCGTTCCCAGAGACACGTCGTCGTCCAAAAATTTGTCAGTCAAAACAAATTTTCCCATAAGAAATAATGTAAATTGAATTAATTCGTTCCACACCCCCAAATATATTAACTTAAAAATACATTTGATACAGAATACTGCTCATATTATTCATACACAAAATAATCAGGTATAAATGTAAATCATAAATAAAATAAGTGAACATTTAACTGCACTTAACCTTTACTGGGGACTCTTGGTGGCGTATGAGAGACGGTGAGGAGGGAGGAGTGGTGTTGGTGTACAGGGAGGGGGGGAAGGAGGTGAGACTGTCCCCCTGCTCGCCTTAAGCATGCTGAATCAAAAGCTTGGTGGATGGTCGAGGGAAGGAAGTTGAGGTAACGGGATCATGTAGGAAAGGCCCTGGAGGAGTGACGACGACAAAAAATAAATATGGTTGTACTGTATTGGTGGCAGTATAAGGTGGAGGCATCATACGTTGGCTTTCTTTTACCAAGTTACAAGGCAGGTAAGAAGTTGTCTGAAACATCTATTCACTTTGATGCATTGAGATTATACCCGAGTAGGTTAAAGGTTTGCTCTTTGCTTGATCAAGCTACAGTATACATAACAGTAAAGCAGGATAATGGGTTAGTAAGTGCTTTGAATGAAAAGATTGGTCTCCCTACAAGTTGAGTATAAATCAGTCCTGGTGTGAAACATTTCTCAAGAAAAGGAGTATCTGTATATTGTTCACACATATGTAGGAAACAGAACATGATATAAGCAATTATTTTACAGTAAATTCTTGTCCCTCAAAATACTGCAAACGGTTGTGCTGTCAGCATGTTCTTCTCTCTGACTCTTGGATTACAACCAATATTTTGGTCTGCATAGTATTCCCGAGTTACTGAACTGTGGGACAATTGTGCTCCAGTACGGGGGCCTCGTAGCCTGGTGGATAGCGCGCAGGACTCGTAATTCTGTGGCGCGGGTTCGATTCCCGCACGAGGCAGAAACAAATGGGCAAAGTTTCTTTCACCCTGAATGCCCCTGTTACCTAGCAGTAAATAGGTACCTGGGTGTTAGTCAGCTGTCACGGGCTGCTTCCTGGGGGTGGAGGCCTGGTCGAGGACCGGGCCGCGGGGACACTAAAGCCCCGAAATCATCTCAAGATAACCTCAAGATAACCAGTATTGCTCTTTGTTATTTGCTAGCTTTTAAAACTTTTTGTGCCAATTAGTCACTTGTACATCTTTTGAAAATTCATTTTGTCTGTGCTCGTTATCATCTCACTTTTGGAAAGTTTATTACAAATAAATAACATTTACTTTGTCTTTGATAAAAACTAAAGGTAGCTTGTGATGTTATATCTGGGCAATTAGTCTACAGATTACACTCTTGTGTATACAATTATTTAGAGTTGGTGAGTGTCCGTGGCCGCCCTGACACCCTCGTGTGGTCTTGATGTTTTTCGTGGATTTTTATATTTGTTTAAATTTCTTTACCTGTGCTATGCTAGTTAGCCTTACCCTTTGTTGGTGCTTTTATTGCTGGAGTGTCTTGTTCTTACCCGGTTGCTTTGCATGTCGAGAAGTATAAATAAAAATCCACATACAGCTGTAACAGTTTTGTTGAGAAAGAAAATTGCAAATGTCCAGTCTTATAGCATTCTCAACCTTCGCGTAGCCTGTTCACTCCTTGATATTGTCATACCAGAACCCTATTTCCTCTTTGGTCTTGTATGGACATTTCAGTCTCCTCCCACCCACCATCTCTCTTCTCATCTCACTAATATGCTTTCTTCATAAGTCTGTTGTTATCCATTCTCAAAATACCCAATAAAATTCAGTCTAATACTTGTATCTTGAGATTCTTGCTAGTTTTACTTGTTTCGGTTTGAATCTTTCTTTTGCATAATCATTTGATGTTTTGCAGGGTTCATAAGAAAACAAAAATAATCTTAAGCTATTGAGTGTAATGATCCACTAATTTCTGTTGGGGGGAATTTTCACCTACTTTTTTCTGAGGGGAGCCCCTACGGCTCCCTGGAGTTTATCGGGCTAACGTATGTTATATTTTAGACTGGGACATTAGCTATGGAGTTCAGACCTACCAGGGACCATGAGCCAGAACTTGGCCCCTTCAGAGAGGTTGCAGGGAGCAATGGCCCTGGAACCCCCCCCCCCTGTGGTTGGGAGTTTTCCTTATCTGCCATCAACTGGGGTTAGACACCCAGAAAGGTAGGCGTAACAAAACAATCCCCACATGGTAAGAAACTAACAACAAAAACTGAACAGATAGGTAGAACTCCTAACAATCCCAAGGAAACAAAGCAAACGTAACATACTACTGCTGCGCCATTCGCCCGCGCAGCCCTCCCCTTTCCGAGAGGGGGAGTTACAAACGTTACAAATGAGGTGGTAGAGGTACTGGGATTAAAAATAGAGAAAATAAATTTAGTGATTATTCTAATATACAAACCGCCAGATGCAACGGCTGAGGAATTCACAGAACAGATAAACAAAATAGAGAATAGCCTTGATAATTTGGAGAACCCGATACCTGATATTATCTTCCTAGGTGACTTCAACTTGCCTAGTCTCAGGTGGAAAATAGCAAACAATAATATTATACCAGGAAATCTATCGGGACCTAACCAACCACAGATTAGAGAACTACTTAGATTCTGTGACAAATTTTCACTCAATCAGCAGATATCGGAGCCAACGAGAAATGAAAATATTCTAGATCTGGTCTTTAAGAACAATGAAGACATTATCAGAGACATTACGATATCAGATACCACATACTCAGATCACAAGCTCATTGAAGTGCAAACGACCATCAATACTCAGAATAGACCTAAAACGTTGATAAAGCGAGAGGGGCTATTCAGTAAATTCAATTTTAATAATAAAAGGATAGACTGGGAGATAATAAATAGGGAACTTACAAACATTCCATGGGAAACTGTTCTAAGTAATACAAGTCCTACAGAAGGAATAGAAAAACTGACTTCGGAAGCGCATCAAGTCTGTCTGAAACATGTTCCTTTGAGGAAAGCCAGAAAGAGATCTAACGTAGAAAGAGAACGCAGACGACACTATAAACGCAGGAAAAAAATAACGGAACTGCTTATGCAGACACGAATTTCCCGTCAAAGAAGGAATAATTTAAATAGGGAGATTGAAGAAATCGAGCGGAAATTGAAACACTCATATGAAACTGAAGAAAGGCAGTTAGAACAGAAAGCAATTCAGGAAATAAAGAGAAATCCAAAATACTTCTTCACATATGCGAAATCAAAAGCAAAAACCACTGCCAGTATTGGACCTATTCGTACAAGTGAAGGTTCATACACGGAGGATGACAAAGAAATTAGTGAAATCCTAAAAAAAGCAGTATGAGGACA